CTTTACTCTGAGCTGACCCCCCCCCCCCCCTCATCAGGAAGAGGAGGCTGCGTGGCATAGTGTTTAAAGTGGAAAACCAGGTCTGGAGAAACCCAGGTTCAAATTCTGGCTCTGCCACGAATCTCAGAAGTTGACCTGGAGACCAGTCACTAGTTTTCAGCCCAAGCTATTTTTCAGAATTATCAAGATAAAAAGGGAACAGAGAGAGAAAACCACGCACTTCGCCTCAAGCTCCCCGAAAGAAAGGCAGGCTACAAATGCAATTTAAAAGAAAAAGAATTGGGGCGGTGGGAGAGAGTTAATCAATACGAACACCACAACAATTGTCCAGATGCTGAGAAGGCGGCCCACCTAAATCAGAGCGCCGGAAACCGTCCAATTGTCAGGCGAGCGTCATCCTTAAAACTAGAAATTTCTCGAGGGCTCCCCAAGAACGGCAAGGACCTGAGAAGGGGACCCCGCAGTAGAAGAGGAGCGAAAGTGGCTCCTGGACTAACGGGATCCATGCTGGCTAACAACACATTGCGCGAGATGCGTGGGTTTCTAGATCATGGGAATCAGAAAAGCAAATGGGTGAAATGTGCAAGAAAATCCTCGGCATTTTCTCATGAGTGATTTACAGCTTCAGCTGGACGCAATGGTTGGGCGACGCTATAAATTACGATCAGCTCTCAGCACCCAGCAAATTTAGCTGAGACTGAGGGGACTTTTTCTCAAGTAGATGCACATCAGGCAGCAGTCTGGAAATGTCCAGTGCCCGCAAAACGTCCGGCCCGCTATAAAGGGCTTCGAGAGAGACTGTGACACCGATTAAGCAGACCAATGACTAACCGAGGCTGGCTGATTTTTTCGGGAGTCCCCAAGGCTGAAGACAATCCTGAACTCTTAGCCGGATTTCCGCAGGGCTGCGCTCCTGCGGAGTAAACAGCCCACTGAATCCCAGGCGGCTGGAATACGAACTCGCCTCACTGGCCAAGTCCGTGTAAACGCTGGATTCGCCGAGGGCGGGACAGTTTAATGGCAGGATGGCTTTGAAAGGGACGAGAGAGGCAGCGGCAATTTTCCCTGGGCAACAGAGCCTCCCTGCTGTTGAACAGATCAATTTGTGCAGGATTTTACTTAGGATGAGATTCCTCCGATTCGAAGAACCACTTTTGACAGCCTGAAATCAGCGTGTCTGAATCAATCCAGAGTGAAATTACATTCCCTCCATATTGCTATTTATCAGGAACAAAAAATAATTCTGATCTCCCACAAGGAAACTAATGGTTAATATATGAACCTGGCCCATTTTTCTGGAACTCTAGCAGGCTACCCTGGCCGATTTTTAAAAGAAAATTACATTCTTCTCTTGAGCCCCACTTCCGCCCCCAACTCAGCCAATAACAGGACCTTCCTGACCTCCTCAAGCCTGCAGCTCAGCCTTAATTGCACATCTTTCTTAATTGCGATGGAGTCTGAAAAGCAGAAATCTATTTCTAACCCAGAAACCCAGAAGTTATGCTAGAAAGCTTCTGCAGGTAGCCCGAGCAATTGTAAAACTAAATAAGATCTAGCAGCACTGGATCTGCATTTGCGCGGGTGTGCCACCCTGAAGACATTCAGCAGTCAGCGCTCCTAACAACAGTTGAAGGAAATGGATCAGGCCACCGAGCCACTTAGATCCAAAGGACAGAAACGTTTGTTGCCCCATTAGAGAAATGCGGTAAATAACTTACTTCATGCCCATCAAATAAATGTGATAAAGCCCCGGTGGTCTATTTGGCTTCATAGGACAGGAGCAACTTGGGTGGATGGATGTCAATGGACATCCATTGGGAAGCGGGGCCCAATATATCTCAACGTTGGGCTATTATCAGCTGCTGGCCCAACAAGATTCCCCGGATGCCAGAGTGGGAAAGGGACCAACCACAACGAAGTGGAGCCTAATTCTTTCAATAAGAGGAAGCCGACAGCTAAAAAAGGATCGTGCGCACCCAGACCAAGTAGGATGGGATACAGACAAGAGCCCCATCGACTTCAACGGTACTTAGCTTCTTCCCCAAATAAAGCAGAACATCCCACCTCATATCCCAGTGATCCTTTTATGAAGTCTAGTAGTAGATCTTAAAGTAGATCTGAATAACTTGGCTCTAATGAGGCTGTTCTAACTTGGCTCTGAAGTTCGCCTGATTTTTCATTTGAAGACTGGGATGAAAGGAAGAGATCCACTTTTCTCTTATGAGCCAGAAGAAAAGGCAGCCATGCGATTGCACTCCTTTATAGCTAAAAGAACTACAAAGTTTCCTCTCCGTCCTGCACTTGTCACAGCTCAAACCTCAAAAGAGAAGAAACTTTCCCAAAACTTCATTTCCAAGAATGCAAAAGAAAGGCAGCTTAGGGAGATTTTTTCTTCTGTACTCTTCATTAAAATAACGGGGGCAGAGATTTAGTTTATATGATCAGTTTTTAACACAAGACTTAGAGGAAAAAAATTCTGCTTCTCTTTGGAAAAATGTGTTTAATTTGGCTAAAATGAATTATTTCCAGTAATGGTTAAGAGGTGGCTAACGGAAGCAGAGAAGAGAATTTCTAATAAAGGTTAGGAATCGTTTCTTTGCTCATTAATGTTTTTGAACAGCTCTAAAGAAACAAGGCTGCTATGTCAGAAAACTGGCTTTATTTTTTGCAAGCTTTCAAAAAGAAAATGACAAAGAATTGTTTAAAGGAAATAACTAGTGGAAATGTTGCTTTTCTTTAGGTAATCTCTCAGGGGCAGGGACCTATTAAAGGTTGCGAATGCATAATACTCTGTACACTGGCTATGAAAAGTCATACGCAATTGAGGCTCAGCTTCAGCCACTCTTTAAAAGTTCGTGCACACCAAGTTTAAAAGTTTTGCACACCAAGTTTCAAGATTTGCAACAACTTCTCGTAAAGTCATGGGAGCATTTCCAAACGAAAACTTTAAGGATCTGGTAGTTACTGGCAAATATAAAACTCCAATCCAGAACTGTTTATTAGGTAGGAAATCCCCTTGAATTCAGCCAGGATTGTTTGCAGTTCAGAATCAATCCAATTATCTTAGCTTCACTTTCTCAAGAGAAATGAACGCACCAATTCGTTCTATGGGGCTCAGTTCTTCCATCACCAACACAGAGCGCAAATGGAGCTCCAGTAATTAGCTGGAAATTAGTCCCATTGAAATCAGGGATGCTTGTTGTCACGGCACTGACTGGGGGCAAATCTTGTTTATTCCGGATGTCAAATTATGGTCCGATCCTGTGCCTTCATATTTGGTAACAAGACTAATTTAAATGGGATTTACAGTGTCATTCTAAGTCCCACACCACCAGTTGACCAGGGAATATCAAACTGTATTCCAGACAAGTATGGATAGATTATGCCATTTTTATGGCGGAGTCACCGATCCCCAAACTCCAGCGTTGTACATTTCTGTTGAATGCCCAACAACTACATCTAGGAGGTGGTGTGGATCACTATCATCCTTCCAGTTCATAAGATCCTATAAGCAGTGAGTCTCAGTGGGACAGAACAAAATTAACCAACTTTGGTTAATTTTATAAGGACTCTTGGCACGAACTACAAAGGAAATGGACAAAGAAAACTGCTTTTTACCCTATTTTCTTTGGCTGCTGTGGCAGTGGTGCCTGTATGGGCTTGGAGCCCCTTCACATAGTGTAGATAAGGTTTATTTCCCATCAGTCTTAAGGAGGGTCCCCGCAAGGGTCTCTCGTCTCCGTTTTAGGATTAGGTTGGGTTTTGAAAGATAAAAACTTTTGTTTTGATTTTAATAAACTCATACAAACAACAAAAGCTTTGAATGTTGCCCTTAAAAATGAAATACCTTTGCGTGTACCTAGCACAATTAAAATCAAGGGCAGGTGAATTCTTCAGTTCAATAGGATTTATTTTCCTCAATCTGTATCTCTTGGATGTAATTCAGGAAAGTTTGTGCTAGGATCAATAGCTACTCGCTAAAATTCTGCTTGTTGGTGGGGATCTGAAATTCTAAATTAGGGGAAGAAACCGAAGCAGCCCTCCCATCACTCCATATTACTGGGTCTAATGGGAGTGAGTCCAAGATCGTCTTTAAGGGGGCACAGGTTCTCTAGGTCTGCTCCAAACATAATTAGGATAAGGATGCCAATCGGAGTTCTGATCCTCCCTCTTTAAAAGCCAAGCTAATAACGTCCAGCTGGTCTCAATCAAAGCCGCGGGCTCTGCAGCAGCAAGCCCCTCTGGATCCCGCAGAAATCCCTCGCACATCGCCCCCTCCCTGATCGCCGGGCGATCCCGAGGCTGGACTTACCCAGAGGTTTGATGGTGTTCTCGGAGCTTTCTTTCTCTTTGGGATTCCCGCTTGACATGAGCGCCGCGATGGAGAAGGCGTTCGCCCGGGAGGACAGCTGAGGTTTGGGTGACACAGTGTACTCCATCTCTCCGAGGCCGCGGTGCCTAGAACCACAAAACCGAGCCAAGCTCCCGCCCGAGCGTTTCTCCTTTCTCCCGCGACGGTGCGGCGTCAGCCCCGGCAAGAGGGAGGAGAGCAAAGCCGGCCCGCGGAAAAGGCAGCACTCGAAGGGGCGAGCCTCGAGGGCCGGACAGGCGGGGGGCGGGG